TTAAACATTAGGCTTAAACTGATTTGCGATTGATTTTTTTTACCATTGCGTGAGGATTTTCACCATCGTATATATACAAGAAGTGAAATAGGACCTACAGTAGCCATATTATCGGTAGTAAGAATGGAGTAGGGGAGGGGGCAATGAGTAAGTTGACGCACTCCATAAAATTAATAACCAGCATATGGAGATGATGACTGAAAACTTGAGAAATAGGTGAAGCATCCAAGTATTTACCTCGTTAGCTTGAATTCCGTCTCGACTGAGAGTTACTCTGAGCTTTGATCACCAACCCTGCACGTATATATATATATATATATATATTATTGTACTAATCAGGGCAATATCAAATACCTTAGTCAAAACTGTCTTTAAAACTATCTAAAATACACTTTATACTTTCAGTAGCAAAAAAATCTAAGTCCCCTCGGGAACCATGGGTTCATCCGTACAATAAGCAATGTACCACACTTATTGTGTGAATGCTATTTAAACCATGGGAGGTAGATCTAGGTTCGAATCCACGACCCATTCGGTTGAAAATCAAGCGCCTGAACCAACAAACCACAGCTTCCTTCCTAATAATTTAATTATATTTTTATGATTTAACTGAAGTCAGAAAGTGAATTGCTGGCGTTTTGGCCACCTTATTGAATCTGATTCTTCAGTGAAGAATAATCCAGACAGTTTTATAAATTTTAGGAAGTCGTGGAACTTCAGTAGGATTCAAGAAATGCATTTTCAAGGTAGCAGTCACCATGGACTGACATCAGTTGGTGAACCGTTGAAAACCTGGGAGTACTGGACAGTTGTTTCTTCTCAGTATGGCACTGAGGAGGGGGTGTGTACTGCTGAGGAGTCCTACACTAGGACGAGATAGCTATTCAGTGCTTCCAGTTTTCAATGCTTCTCCAACTGATATCAGTCCATGGTGAATATTACCTCAGAAATAAATCCCAATTCTCATTAAAGAAACCAATTAATCAATGATCAGCTTACTTGTTCCTATCACGTCAGATCATGGTCTTAGCCGACAGATATAAAGCAAGGTTATTGGAAAGTATTTCAAAGACACTTTGTGTGTATCACCACAGATACATTGAGTTCATCTAGCCGAAGAAACTCATCCTCATGAATCACTTTCTTAATAACTCGGCAGTAACCTATCGCATTATTCCAATCTAAGATACAAGCGTAAATCGACAAGACAGGACAGTGGTTCACCTGAGTTTTTTACTGATGAGTTTAAGTAAGGAGAAAATGTCAGTGTAATAAGACTTTCTATGATTCCATATAATCACTCAGTATTTTTTTGAAAAACAATTTTATACTATTGAACTGTATGAGAATGTTTGTTAGATATTTGGTTTGAGTGAACGAACCTCTGGTCATGGTATTTATTCAGACCTCTGAACAGTTTTGTGAAAAAGATTTGCTTGAGGAAACTACTCTTTCAACGTAGAAACTTGAATATTAACCAGCCAGCAGACCAATGGGTCAATTATTCGAAGATTCTTTTTTCAGTTCCCATTCCCTTTCAAGTTCATTTATAAATCCCATGGATCAAAGTAATTGTCAGGATGCCTTGTTTTTCGGGGATACCGTTAGCAAGGTATATCTTCAAAGTCAAATAAACTGATCTTTTCTCAACCTTACAACCACAGAAGTCTCCAGGACCAACGATTTACATAACTGGATACCTTACACTTGTGAGAGTTAGTGACTAGTAACCAGTGTCGTATTGTTAAGACTAAATTCTGTCGACATATAAACTTGTATTGAGTACTATTGCAAAATTTATCTTCTAAAAGTCATGAAGCCAACTTATTCTAATGATGGGTACTGGCTAGTAGTGGATACCAGAATGAGCATTTTATCCTATTCGGTGAATATTGACCGATCAATTCACTGCAATCAATGCGTTTAACTTCAAGCTGTAACAGCAAACTTATTTTCAGTCTTAGAATCACTATCTACTTGTGTTATACTCATAAACTTATCCCTTATGCTTAAGATCATAAGTTATTTTACAGTGAATTCATTCAATTTTCTTTTTTCTGAATCTATTAGATCGATGAATCATTGTCACTCACTAAACATGGAGTGACTTCAAAGGCCACCCTAACAATAGTTAAATTAACCAATCAGATTTTTATTTTATGAAAATCCGACCTTCCAGCAGATATACAGAAACCTAATTGGTTATTTCGGTTGTTTCTAGGGTGGCCTTTAAAGTCACTTCTAAACATGTCAGTATGACTCATGATTAGCGTGCAATCAGTCAGTAAATCAACCAATCTATTCACATGACTGTTATAATGATTCTTTTGTGACATCTATCATTTTATAAAATGCGAATGATAAAAGTTGAATGAAAATCATTATCGTAACAGGATTTAAATTGGCGGCTCACGAATTACAAATTCGACAATCAAACCGACTCTATTAGGCGACACAGATGCCGATTAAATCTCTTCAACCAGAATGTGTTTCAACCAAATATCATATGAATCAAATATAGATTACTCCTATTGTCAGAAGGGCTATTATGCGGAGGCCTTGATATTGCTCAGTTGTTCATTATGTTTTTGTCTGCTTCGTGGCTAGCAATGAAATCCAGAACATGCGCGTTTCATCCCACCTGTATATGGCTGGACTCTGGTGAGTGATATTGTTCCCATCGGGACTCGAACCCAGTACCCATAGCTTCAAACGCCAAAACAGGTCAGTGGGTATCTCATTGGGAACAACACCACTCACTAGGATCCAGGTACATCCGACTAACAGGTCCCAAAAGAGGTGAAATGCTTTCCGTGGATTCCACTGTTAGCCACTAAGTAGGCAACAACATGACAAGTAATCGGCCAGCATCGAGAAATCCGGATAGAAGCGCATCCGCAAAAAGAGGTCGAACGATTCGATACTTATTGCACAAGAGATGGCTGTCGTGCCCCTGTGACCTAGTTTATAGTGCCTCAACGTTTGAAGTGATAGGCACTGGGTTTGAGTCTCAGCAAGAACAGCACCAATCACCGGGATGCAAGTGAATACAGCCGAAGAGTCCCAAATGGGACGAAATGCGTGTCCTGGGATCCACTGGTGGCCACCAAGCAGACTACACATGACTAACCTTCTCTTGTTACACTGGTTGCTCGAATCTGAATGAGATGATTAGTGCACAAACCACAGTTATTAAATTAACACCTACTGATGCTTGGGATTTCATTTCATTAGATTTATACAATTAAGAAAACTCGATTCTTTTTAGTGACTCCACTCCTTGTATAGATGCCAACGTCTTTACACTACCTTTTGTTCTACACCGGGATGACTGTTCAATCCAAGTATCAGTGATCTACCCGCCTATCTATTTGACGAGTCCTAGCCAGGACGAAACACATGTTGTGGATATTTCAGTTAATTAACAAGTTATTAGCAATATTAGATGAAATGTATACACGTTTCTTCTGGATTTATTTCAACTCAGTGTCTTGTAAAATTCGATTTGTGATGATAAGTTCACATGGAATATTACTATGATTATATGGTCATAATCTATACATTTGAGTTAAGGTAAGTCAGAAAATAGCACTAACAAACGTTTATGGGATAATTAAAATAGGCAGATTTCGAGCGACTTTAAAGGCCACCCCAGAAGCTAATGAGATAACCAATCAGTTTTCGATATTTCTCCTGAGAAAGTAGTTTCCTATAAAGTGAAGGAATGTAATTGGTCGTCTCACCAGTTGTTAGGGTGGCTTTTAAAGTCACTGCAAATTTTAGGAAACAAATAACCTCAATAATGAAACGAAAACAAGTGTATTTTGAGTGACTTAAAAGGTCACCCAAGCAACAACTAAAATAACCAATTAGACTTCTCTATTTTATGAAAACCTTCCTTTCCAAAACGAAATTGAGAAACCTAATTGGTTATTTCGACCGTTCCTGGAGTGGCCCTTAAATTCAATCAACAAACAACTATTTGATCCACTGATTGCTTAGTAGAAGAAGAAAGTAGAAACACACTCAGCTACCTTGTGCACATTCGTGCAGTAGGCAATAAGCCACATCTATTGTGTCAGGGTTAGTGATACTACCTGGCTGTCCAAATTTCAGTAGGCGCTAGAATTCCTGACCCTATGGTTCATAGTCATCGCCTTAAACCACTGAGCCACAGCTGCACATTTATTACACCAAGTTATATATATTAAGTAATGACGGGAGATGATATGAAGATCTGGACGGCTGCAAGATTGAAACCAGCGACTTCTGGGGTTCAAATTTTCATTTCACCTTCAATCGCCACCCTATATCACTAAAGGTCTGTCAAACCATGGCTATCTCGGATGGTCAAAGTGATTACATAAATGAGAGACGATTTAAAATCGGTCAGCAATACCTTTAGTTAGCGGTTAACGTCCATACAGGTGTCATAGACCAAGGATGATATTTTTCATTACGACAGTGAGTGATCAAGATTATAATGTTTAAAGAAACAAGATTCCTTCTGAAGCTGTAGGCATGCAATTGAAGGGGAATACTATCAAGTTTGTATTCCTAGTTTCCTACCGATTCCCTGTAATCAGCTAACAATGCAAAAAGTCCATTAAGATAGTAACCCCCCTGCTTCGATGAGCAGATTCCAAATTCGGAAGATAGAATTCGATTAGTTCTTATGACTTGGAACAATCTATTGGAGTCCCCGAAATAAGAAAACTAATCAGTATTATTGAAAGAAACAGCGTAGTACTTAACGCAGGAAAATAGTAGCCATTCTTCCTCTGACTGAAACGTAAAGGAGTACCTTCCTCGTCATAAGAAATGAGTATACTACCTTCGCGATCAGAATGAAGTTATATGTGCTCTAGTTCAATAGTATTTCCACTGGTATTAGCTGTTTCTTGAATCAACCAAACAATTCACCATAGTCACATTCCAATTGAATACGAAATTTATATTTGACAACTTTACTTCAGAAATATACTACTTTTTGTACTTACTGATAATAAATTCACAGTATTCCCTTGCTAGTTCGTTACCATGATGCACGAAGTTTAAATTACTCCAGTTTATTAATTTTGGTATGAATGACATATGTCAGGTGTGAAATATCAGCATATTGATGGACAATCTGACGACACTGTCATATGATCGTTTAGAGTAGGTAAAGTATCATGCGAAAGTGTAAATTAGTCTATTTTCCATCCTTAAACGATTATCTGAAAGTCGTGAAATGAAAGTAGTAATTAGATTTGTCGTAAAACTGGTCATGTTATGTTTTATTACAATCAAATAAATTCGATTTTAATTGGCCAGCAAATATAGGTATAAGCGTATTTGTTATTTACCCAATCACAAAATAGAGTGGACATTTGAATAAAGGAGTCATTTTATTATCTTTGCAGTCTGATTGGTTTACAGGTAGGTGTGTGTATGTACATAAATAAGTAATAAAATAGTCTATACAAGAGGAAAACGCAAATAAGGCACACATTTCTTTTTAATCCAATTGGAATGTAGAAATAACTTGAGATAACTAGCATCACACTTGAAAGCATCCAGTTACGTAGAAAGAATAGGCTGCACGTTCTTTATTAGGTTACTCACGAGAGAACCTAGAATGCATTTAGAACTCATCAGACAAATTTATCCGCAGCTGCTTCTATGTTCCCAGTGAGGCTAGAACTGAGTCATAAATTCACAAGGTCCACATGGTTAATCTGCCAATATAGTCAATTATTGTACATGTCTGCAATTACCGATTGTTCCTTTGAGTGTAGTAAACTGATCGATTTCTGTTGACATACGAATTCTCTGCAAGAATATCTTTACATTACATTGAATGTTGGTCAGTTTGTATTGTCTCCTTGCTTGAGTTACAGAATATCAGATCAAAGGTGAATTGGTCCACAATTGAGATTAATTTCTAAATAGTAATCTATATCATCGCATGATGAAGTGAAATTGTCTGGAATCCCATTTCCACTTATTATTTCTGTTCAAAAATTAGTCAAAACTGAAAGGTTTACACATTTACTCAGGAAGTGATTACACAATATTTGAGAAAGTAGTTGCACACGCTTGTTACGCTATTCCTTGCTATCAGAGGTGTCATGATGTGAAGGTAACCTGGTTATCAGCGTTTCTATTGAAGGTCGTAGATATAGATAAGAGTTACCGCCTAATTCGTCACGTACAACATCAGCACATTACACAAAACGCCGAGTTGGATAGGTTGTGACACCCAAGATGGAGATTACTGAGGATAGACACCTTACAGTAGGATGTACAATATATATATATATATATATATATATATATATATATATATATATATATGTATATATATATATATGGATTCCGGTAAGTACTGTTAACTTTTAAAGCGCATCAGTTGCACAGGTGAAAAAGGCACGATGTCCTAGCCATTTATTATTTGAAGTTGATAGTCTTCCTTAGAGAAAATAAGCGGCAGGTTTTGTGAAAAACAGACGACAACAACATTAAGAATAACGACACAATTCGGTATTAACTGTAAGCAGTTACTAGAGTAACGACCAGCTATTGATAAGTTTCGTCTAGCCTGTGGGTAAATACGTTTTTGCAGGGGAAGGGGCGGGGGTGCGTAGAAGAGTATGAGTTTAGTGGTGACCACGATAACCTGGAATGGAAAAGAGGAAGAGAACAACATCAGCCAACGACTCAGTGAGTACACAGGATGTATTTACACTCAATAATTGACAAACGGTGGAGCTTGACAACTCAGAGGTGAAGCAATCTAGAAATCGGAACTAGAAAGTGAATGGGTAAAGTTTCAAATGCAGTACACTAGATATTCAAGGATACTTCACTGGTGCGTCCACATAATAGGAAGTTCAGTTGTCGGTGGACTTCATTTTAACGCATTTATATATATATATATATATATATATATATATATATATATATATATATATATAGGGAGAATAAAGACTGTCAATTCAAGTCAGGCTAATTACTCAACCTTCAAGTTACATTTCCAAAACGTCAGATATCAGATTCTCTAGGGAGAAAACAGAATACATAGCACTCGACAGTGATTGAATATATCCTATCATTAAGACTCAGTTACTCAAAGGTTTTAGTCTGTTGGTTGTGGTCCTATCAAATTTTGTGATCGGTATCATCTAGTAGGTAAGTAGGTAGGTTGTAGTCAGATTGTTAATTAATTACACATTACAAAGATACTTCATAGAATCTGATGAAATAGTTATACACAGTGTGAAAATCATATTCACACTTAGAAACAGCTTTCTGTTGATAACATTTATACTTCTAGGATGATTTGTTGTTGAATTTCAAGAAAAGTAATTGAGCTATATGCATAGGAGCCCATATGCCAATGCAGGTCGATCAATTCAGTCCAGTATAACAGTGGAGAACTACAAGTAACAACAAACAATAACGACTAGCACCCGTTGTTCAAAAGGTGGATAACGTGCCTCGGTGGTCTAGTGGATAATGCTTTGACATTTGAAGCGATGGGTACAAAATTCTGGTCTTAGACGAAACACGGTCACTCACTTGGATACGGGTACATCTAGATGACGAGTCCCAGGAAGGAAGAAACACATATCCTGGATTCTACTGCTAGCCAAAACCAAATCAATTAACAATTTCAAAGAATGCTTTTTACACTAATAAAGGTTCTTGTGAGTTATAACTGATTTACAATGTTGGTTAGATGTATCTATGTTTTAATGTAGTCTCCTCGTATAGACATCCTCGCAATCAGATAGGTTTGCTGCATTATGGCATTCTGGCGATAGATAATATGCTTCTTTCCTTCCGTGACTCATCGGCAGTGTAGAATGGTGTGGTTGTTATTCATAAATCAGTAGTCTACTGGATAACGCTAGAACACTTGAAACTCTGGGAGTTGGTTTCAACTTTCAGCAGGAATATCGGTACTAGGAAACAAGAGCACCTGTTTGATCTGTGCTAAACAGAACAATTCAGTGATTCTGGTCTTTCATGCTACTAATCAGCGAAATGATGCTTTACTGCTTACACACACACACACACACACACACACTTTACAACATTCGTATGAACCTCTGCAGATCCCCTCTCTCACACACGTTGATGCAGATTTCGGTATTATTCTTACCTCATTATTTTTTTATTTTTCATAAAAGACAAGCGATTTCTGAATGACCTTTAAATCAACTCGAAAGTTATAGAGAAATACAAAGCAGTGGATCGAAGTTTAGCCCCAGTAAGGGACTCTTCACGAGTACTCCCTTTACAAGCCTTTAAAGAATCTATCCAAAAATCTTTAATTGTCATGGTAGACACGTTGCTATTCAGCTTCTAAATTAAAGTCTTGTGGTTTAAATGCTCAAAGTTCTGTTAGTTGGTAATATAGAAAAACCAATCAGTTCGTGATAAACGTTGTCGGGAAAAGAATCAATTCTCAACAAACTAATGAACTGACAAAGCATTCTTTCTCCACTAGAAACTGTCTCTGGGATGTATTAGTCGAAGTGTGCTTACTAAACAATATGGCCACTAGGATTAACCACCATGTTGGGAGTGAAAGTGAATTCCAGCTGGTGATAATAACAGCTTGTCATCATACAGTACAAATAACTGACGAACTTTGGAATATTCCTGAACCACTGTCTCCTTGCTTACTAGCTGAATGGTAACATATCAGCCTCGAGACATAGTGGTTTTTAGCGCGACCCCGTACAACACAGTGGATACGGACTACTGAGAAGTTTCAAAATGAGATGAAACTGTAGTCTACTCAACAAGGTACACCATAACATAGAATTTAAAGTGGAATGTGAACAAGATGATAAATTCCCTTACCTTAACCTCGGAATTCAGCGAACTATCGATGGTAACATACTTAGATGTATCTAACATAAAGATTCTTGAAGTGAAATGTATTCTAATTCCCACAACTTTTGCCCTATTAGTTATAAGAAAGAAAGGGCTGGTGAAAACACTCTTCAACCACGCAATACGTTTTTGTTCGGAAGACATTGGAAGAGTAGACGAATATTGTGGAAAGTTGCCTCCGTGATGACGGATATCCATAGGAATTCATCAATAAGCACAAGAATGCGCTGACTAAAACCATAGGGTGTGGTACAGTCGAGGAGAAACTTGTTTTCCTAAATCTTGGTTTCATAGGTGATGGCATTTCCACCAGAATTAATTACAGCGTAAATGTTGTCTTAAAAAGTACTTATCCAGTTGCTAAGTTAATCGTACTCTACCGAATGAATTGCTCAGTGAGACGGTCAAATGTTGACAAGTCCTCTGTTCATGTCACCTCCAACTAATTCTGCTGATTCACATGTACGTGACAATTCACATACATTGGACGAAGAGGAAAAAGGGTTTGTGACTGCATGCCTGAGCATATTCCAAGGAATTTGTTACTGAGGGGTGGAAAAGCCTTCAACAGCGCTATTACTCGTCACCTAATTGATAGTGGGCATGAAGTCAGTATCCAGAATTTGTTCAAAATAATTAATAAACAAATGAATTCTGATTGGCTGCGATTCTATGAAGCATTAGCCATGGAACGTTTTAAACCAGATTTATGCGTTCAGAAAGAAACATTTATCACTCTGTGCCTACGTATCATTGTCACTTCATGCAAGGTGGTTTTTTGTTTGCTTTTTTTGTTATTTTACATTTCACACCGTTGACCTAATTATCTGAATCCTACTCACATTATCTCCTGATTAGCATAAATCTTATGATCTTCCACACCATTTGTGCAAACTTTCTTAATATGTTGAATACACTCCCCCTTCCCCTTATCTGACTTCTGCTCTGGAATATTTGTCTAATATATCTGAATATTGGCAGACTTAACCCTGCATATTTACTCACTCAATTCGTGTTTTCAATCACTTCATATCTATTGTATCTTTAGTTCAAGTTGACAGTTTCCCGTCAAACTGATTGTAGTGTTGTGGGTGCTGCTGATAAGGATGGATATGAGTAGTATATGTTGAGAGGACTGAAGAAATCACAAGCAATTATCAGCAGTGGGTAAATATTCTGCCCAGAGAAACGTAAGAGACATTGTGGGTGTAGAAGAAGAGGAAATGAAGCACATTGTGCAATGACTGTTTTATTGAAAGTGTACAATATTTTCAGTTACCTCTCATGACTCCACCGCAGCTACTGGTGTACCAATCAGCTGTCTAGTCACCTTGGCCAGCTCACTAATATCCATGAGTTGGGCTAAACTCACTAGTCGTAGATGCTGGGTT